AGCCTCATTCAGCCCCCCATCCTGAGTGTACGGCACTTGTGCCGGCGACAACACACAATGCGACAACGGCACCTCCGCTCTGGCATTGCGCGACGTTGAGCAACGTCGCACCGAGGGCCACCACCGCCACCACACACACCGCCCAGCCACAGCTACAGCCACAGCCACAGATGGAAAGGTATAACCAACAGCCTGCCGCTCTCACTCCAAAGAACAACTCCCAGAAATCTATATTCAAACGATTTCATTCATTATATTTTATATAATTTATATTTTCCTCCTCGTACATCGTTTCCATCCTTGTATATAAGCTTCTGTCCGTTGCCGGATAATAATAATAAAAACCAACCTCTGCAACCATTAATTAACAGCTCCCCGCCACCTGTAAACTCCGTCCCGAGCGGAGCGACGAGCCGATCAACACCTTTTCCTCGAAGTGTGAAGATTCCAGAGAGATTCGTTGCTTTTACGGCAGTGCCGTACCGTACACGTCACCACATCAAACATGCTGCGTGATTCCTGATTGCTGGATCTGGACCTGAATCTGGAATCTACGTAGCCTGACTCACCTTTTTGAGTTTTAAACATACATCGCCTGGATCTGGATTTCGATCTGGAACTGAATCCTGCCAGGATGCACCCGTACACAATCTTTGCCTGTCTTCCCCGCCCATCTCCGCCCATCGGCGCGCAGATTTATACCACAGATAAACTACTGTTCACATAATCTCTATATATAGTATAGCCGTTTTGGTGATGTGTACGTCGTTGTACGTCGGCGGCGGGCCAGATGGGCCCCCTAGATTTTCGTTCCGTCGTATGTATGTATGTATGTATGTCTTACGCACTGCTGGCCCCGGCTCCGTGACCTTGCGTCGACGGCAGCATACTCGACCCCGTGAAGGAGTCCCCTGCTGCTCCTGTCGCTAGAGAGCCCAGCTCTGGAGGGGGAGGAGGAGGGGGAGGAGCAGGAGGCGGAGGAGGACCAGGAGCACGTTGCAAGACCGGACTGATGAGAGCCGCCGGCATGCGCTGCGGCGGATGCGGCGGCGGCGGCGGCGGTGGCAACATCAACGGTGATGACGGCGGCGTCGCCACCGGCACTGCCGTCGCGACGGCGGGCATGAGGCGCTCCAGGTGCGCCTCCACAAGGATCGCTGGCGGCCTGTTTTGGGGCTGACGTTGCAGGCAGTGAAGCGCCACTGCCCGGTAGGTCTCCGGGCACGAGGGTGGGAAGGCGGGGAAGATGCTGCTATACCGGGGACCTTGGTCGGTGCAGATGCCGGCGCGGCGGCCGTGGTAGAGCTCCCATAGCATCACACCCAGCGAGAACACTTGGGTGGTTGCATGTATGTATGTGTGTGTGGGGGGGTAGGTTTGTGTGTTGTGTGTGGNGNGGGGAGGTAGGGGTATAGCGGTGTAGTGATGTAGACGACGACAAGCGGGACGGGAAGGGGCGGAAAGGGGGGAGGGGAGGGGAGGGGGAAGGAGGCCGGTCAGGGAGCGGCAGAGAGAGAGAGAGAGAGGGAAAGGTAAGGGGAAGGGGAAGGGGGAAATCGGAAATGGGAGAGCAGCTGGATTAGAATGGCACCTGGATTCGAAACGGCGACTTCAGACAACGACGGACCGACAGCAGCAATCTTCATGTGAACATTGCTGCTGCTGCCTGTTCGCGCCACTACTCTGCTACGGCTGCCCAACGTTTCCAACCACCCACTCACCGTCTGATGGCGGCCCGACTTGGCCCTGAAGATGGTGGTGGCGGTGGGGCGGGTGGTGATGGTGGGTCCAACAGCGGCCCCAGCAAAGCCAAGTTATCAAGCGCAGGGGAAAAAAAGAGGGAGAGTATTCTCACGAAGGGAAGAGAAGACAAAAAGTTTGCAGAAAGTAGAACCTTATGTTAAATCAAACGCGTACGGTCTTACGAACGAAACTCTATAGACCCGGTGTCCGATTTTTATTAGTTTCAATATTACATAGAAAAGAGGACGGCAGGGGACGGGACGAAGAAGGGACCGCAATTCAACGCGCAAATTAAGAATCAGCTGCCAAAGTCCTAAAGCGACGTCGGGAGTGTTGTGTGTATGAGCGTTTGCATGTGTGTATGTACGTATGTATGCGTGACGGCAAAGGCCACAAGCTGCAGGGAAAAGTAAAGACGAGCAACCCCGTAGATTACCCCTTCAACTGTAATAATACTTCCAGACAGTCGTCGTGCTGTGCTGTGCTGTGCTGTGCTGTGATGCAATCATACGTGCATTCATGCGTTCCTTCATGCACATGTACTTTTTGATAATAAATATGGAAGAGTTGACTGTGAGATTGCCGCGTCTGTAAAAATGGTCCTGTTGTCGTACCCTGTCGTACCTTCATGACTACTGCAGGGCACATGTAAAACATGGTGCCCATGCGCAAGTTGCTCAGGTGGGTTCGATTTTGAGGCAGCATTACACTGCGGTGGGGTGAGTGGGGAGTGGGGAGAGGCAAGGGGGTGGGAGGG